TCAGGGGTTATTTTGAGGAAGAAGTGAGCTGTCATATGTGAAATGCTTTGTAGCAAATGGAGTGCTTATCACTATGATCGGTCTTTCACTGTACTGAGGAGTTCAGTGTTAACTGTTTCTCTGATTCTGACCCTCGCTCACGCTCTAGATCCTTGCTCACTCGCTGTCTCTCTCTCAAGACAACCAATCTGACCCATGGCTGTGGGGAGCCCAAAGGCAGGTTTGGGGCCTTAAACAGCATGGCAAGGCTGCACGTTCACATTCATCCCAATACCGCAAATGGCTGCAATCGTGCAGCCATAGGCTTCCAGAACCTTCCCCGCGAGCAGGGGAAGACACCCCAGCCTGTACCTTCTGAGGTGGGCTTACCAGAGTGACCCTGGATCCATCCCTCATGGAGCATGAGCGCTGCCACAAGCCTTCCCTCCCTAGTGTGGTGTCAGGATGGGTCCTAGAATGGGTTCCAGAAACTGTTGGCATGCGACAAGAACTCTCCCCAACCTCTGTCATAACTTGTAACTTGTTGGCAAACCGGTGCTACACAGGGCAGTAGCCTTCTGGGAGCCTAGCTTGCCTTGACTCTGGTGGAATTTGTTAGACACGGTGTCTAATTTAAACCTTAAGACGTGCTGTGGTTGCCACATTCTGTAGTCACTGCCTCTGTGTTTACTTCTTCCACATATAGTGTGTTCTTTCTGGTCCACAGTTTGCCCTGTGATTGAGAATGACCATGGTGATGGCTGACCTTTAATGAGATCTGGGCTCTGAGCATTGTTTATAGATATCTTACCTCACTTGATCCGAACCCAGTATCCTGGAGGGAGGTATTCTTATAACTAAGCTCATTTTACAGATGGGGAAACTAAACAGCAAAGCAGAGAAGTAACTGGCTCCAAGGTTACAGCCTGGGAGTAGCAGAGCTGGGATTTGAACTCAGGTAGCAAGATATCAGCATTCCTGCTTATAACATAGCTTTAAAAGATAGTAAATGAGGCTAGAATCTGTGGGATTCTTGGCACACAGGTACTACTCAGAGCTTCAAGAGTGAATGATGCTGCCTGGCGCTGGTGGTTCACACCTGTAATCCTAGCTACTCAGGAGACTGAGATCTGAGGATTGCTGTTCAGAACCAGCCTGGGCAGAAAATTAGGAGATTCTTATCTCTAATTAAGTACCAAAAAGCCAGGGTTGGAACTGTGGCTCAAGTGGAACTGTGGCTCAAGCAAAAAACCTAAGGGATCCTAACTACTCAGGATCCAGGTATAAGGCAGGCCCAGGCATTGAAGTTCATGAGATTCCATCTCAACCCATGGCTGGGTATATTGATACATGCCTGTCATCTCAGCAGCACAGGGAAACAAATGGGAGGATCACAGTCCAGGCCAACTCAAGCATAAACACAAGACCCCATCTCAAAAATAACCAACACAACTCCACTTGAGCTAGTGGAGTAGCTCAAGTGATAGAGCAGTTTACCTAGCATGTATATGCCCCTGAGTAGAATTCTTAGTATTGCCAAAAGAAAAAAAAGAACACCAGATAACAAATGCATGAAAGGTGTATGGCCATCCCCAGCTAGCTATATGTGCCACTTGGAGAGGACCAAGTGGTCAACAGAATGTACTAAACACCCACCAGCCTGCACACCACCTCCTGCCGAGGAGAGAAAAGGTTCACCGGCCTCTGGAAAATCTCTCTGTATAGTCCTGTCCCTGAAGTGGCAAAGACACGAAGCCAGTCTCTCTGTGCTGGGGCACTTGAGAAATTAGAGAAATTGGCCGCCTTGGTAGTTGACTTCTTAAATCGATTGGGATTTTTATTGCACCGTTGAAAGCCACTCAAAAGGAAACCACAAAGTTGGGGAAGCCCCAGGTGACCAGCTTAATAGATTTCTGCATAAAGAAGTCAGACACAGAGGAGGGTATATTTATTTGCTCAGGACACTGAGAGACCACATCCCAGAGACTTTGAGTCCCTTTGGGGCCTTTCCAGAGGGAATCATGGAGCCCAAGCCCTGCTCACTCACTACTGCAAGGAAGGTTTTTTGCACAGTTCAATTTTCCAACCAACCAAGCTAAACAGAAAGCCATGTTTTCACAGGTTTGTTGTTTTTTGTTTTTTGTTTTTTTTTTGGTGGGAGGGGGTGGGGAATCTTGCTTACCTGCCTTGTTTGCTTGCCTGACTTAGCTGGCTGGAGTTCAGTAAGCAGAGCTTCTGTTTACTTTGTGTGTCTGTGGGATTCTTGGCAAACAGGTACTTCTCAGAGCTTCAAGAGTGAATGATGGTGCCTGGCACTGGTGGCTCACACCTGTAATCCTAGCTACTCAGGAGACTGAGATCTGAGGATTGCTGTTCAGAGCCAGCCTGGGCAGAAAATTAAGAGATTCTTATCTCTCATTAAGTACCAAAAAGCCAGAGTTGGAACTGTGGCTCAAGCAAAAAACCTAAGGGACAGCGCCCAGGCCCCTAAGTTCAAACCCCAGTACCTATACAATAAATAAATACACATACATACATACATATATACAAACACCAGCTTCCTGTATCATTTATCAACATCATCTTAGCTGTAGTCATTTTCCTGCTTCTTGTATCTTTCTAATTAAAATCAGGGACCTCAGGAACTGCTAAACACTTCTGATGTTCATGGAATTGTCTGACTGTGAGCCTGGGAACTCTTTGAACACATGGTCCATCTCCCTCCTCAGAAGTCCCTAGCATAGGGTCCAGAACACCATGTCTACCAAACACGAGGAATATAGTATGGCCACGGGGGTATAGGGAAGCTTAATTGAATATATCAGTGAAACACTTAGGCCATCAGAAGGGACTTAGAGACAGACAGGGGAAGTGATTTTCCATGACCGTGACTATTTATAGCATCGTTGTCCCTACATGGGGCTCAACTCCAAAATGCAACCTCACTGGGCCCCGTTGTAGCTTATACCTGTAATCCTAGCTATGCAGGAGGCAGAGATCTGATTATTGCAGATTAAAGCCAGCCTGGGCAGAAAAATTATGAGATTCTTGTCTCCAATTAACCACCAAAAAGCTGGACGTGGAGCTGTGGCTCAAGTGGTAGAGCACCAGAAGTTCATGTCTAGGATTCTGATGCTGAATGAAGCCAGGCCTCTATCCCACCCTTCCACCACCCATCACCCCACTCAGTCTTCCCAGGAGGGGTCTCCCAATAACGTTGGGGTGGCTTGACTACCCCATCTGCCATGGGTAGATGCCTGATTCCTGGAGTCCAGATCCTGGCCAACTGTAGGTCCCTAAATACCCTTCACTGTCCCCCCCAGGGCCTTCATACCAATAGACCTGTCCTGACACCTCATTCCTGGATCATGTGTGCAGATCAGACCCCATCTTAGCCTCCCTGGAGCCTGGCTGCACCACATCAGCACCCCCTGGTGGCCAGAAGCAACAGCTAGCATCTACATCTCCACTGTTAGCACTGACTGAACTAGCTCTAGAGACAGAAGTCAACCCAAGCAGAAAGTGACAAGAAATTGAGTTAGGGTGGGATTTTTATCTTCTCCAGTGCAGATGCCTATCTCTCCGATTTACCTGTCGGAAGCTGGTGAGCCTCCACGGTGCCATGAGAAGAGCTTGGCATAAGCAGGTGGATATTGAATGGATTTGATTTAGTAATTAACTGCGATCCATTCACCATGAGAAAGAAGTACCCTTCCTTTATAAACAGAGCCAGTGTCATCCGCTTGATCCTGGGTTGGCTCTCCTCTCCTTCCCCATCCCTGTCCTAGCTGCCTCTGACCCACCTGACAGTCTGAGATCTTTCTTCAGCTCTCATGTTCTCTTGTTCTGTTGAAAGGGAACTCTATCTATTCTATGTTCCTTGCGATCACATTTCCTTTCTTTTTCCCTTTCTATCTCTCCCTTCCCCTCTCTCTCTTTGTTGGTTGTGGGGCTTGAATTCTGGGCTTGGCTGCTATCCCTCAGCTCTTCAGCTCTGTCACTTGAGCCACAGCACCACTTCCGGTTTTCTGAGTGGTTTATTGGAGATAAGAGTCTCACGGACTTTTCCTGCCTGGGCTGGCTTTGAACTGTGATCCTCAGATCTCAGCCTCCTGAGTAGCTAGGATTACAGGCATGAGCCACCGGCGCCTAGCACCTTCTTTATTTTATTCTATTTTATTTATGGAGGAGAGCATTCCTGGATGTTCCTCCAGCGCTGCTCCTCCAAGCCTGAGTGCTGTCCTTTAACTTTTTCACTCAAGGATGGCACTCTACCACTTGAACCACATCTCTATTTTTGGCTTTGGCTGGATAATTAGAGAGATAAGAGTCACGGACCTTCCTGCCTGGGCCAGCTTTGAACTTTGAGCCTCTTATCCTCCTGAGTAGCTAGAATAAAAGACAGGAACCACGCCCGATGCTTGGCACAGTCACATTTCTTCACACTTGCACACCCCTTGGTACTCTCTGGCAGCAAGATGGCCAGCCACACAGACAAGATGTCTGCTCTCAGAAGTCCCCAGCCTCACGTGGGGGAGCAGACAAGTGAGCAGCAAACAGTAGTAGATGCTGTGATTGCAGAATAAGATGACACAATGGGCATGCAGGCTGGTTCACCTTACAGACCTTGGCTCAAATCCCAGGTCTACCGCTTGTAGACCAGACAGACTTGGGGAAGGGCTGTGTCTGTTTCCCCAGGGTTGAAAGAGGAATCATGACTCTGTGCTTGTGTGGGGAGTAAATGAGTTAATGCACATAAAGAGTTCAGCAGAGGTTCTAATCCATACAGATATTCCGTTCATGTTGGCGTTGAGAAGCTAAGTTCAACATGCTGTGGGATGACGGGGAGGGACAAGACGGACAAATGGCAATCCTAATGGATGAAGGATGGAGAGACGTCCAAGGGCAGTTGTTTTCGTGGAGGCCACTGTGCTGAGGAGTTTATCTCTGCCTCCGCAGGGACCCAAGCACTAGGAACACCCGGTCACTGCACCCATGTGACTGATCTTTCCCTTCCTCAGGGCCGATGACTGCTTTTGCGCCTCACGGAAGCTGGATGCTGTGGCCATCGAAGCCAAGTTTAAGCAGGACCTGGGCTTCCGGATGCTGAACTGTGGGCGGACTGACCTGGTGAAGCAGGCCGTGTCTCTGCTGGGACCCGACGGAATCAACACCATGAGCGAACAGGTACAGGGCCCCCGGAGACCCAAACTCCACCCCCCACCCAACCTCCTCCTCAGGCATCAGGGCAAAATGGGGTGCAGCTGGCACCAGAGAAGTTCCCCCTGCTGCCACTCAGGTTGCTTTTTTTTTTTTAGTTTTTAAAATATAAAAATAGGCTCGTTCATGTTTATCGCAGCTGAAATGGAATAAATAAAAAGGGGGAAATAACTTCTATTTTAAGAAAGGAAATGAATGTCATCAGCCAGATGACCATTTATATTTAGTATGTGTCCTTCAAGGTCTTTTGCCAGCATTGTTAAAAGTAACCCATCTGTCTGTCATGGCACAGGACGGGCCCTTGCCAGCTTCACCAAATTTTAGGATATGTTTAAGAGACACGAAACTACTCAGGCACTGGTGGCTCGTGTCTGTAATCAGCAATTCATGAAGCTGAGGTGAGAGGATTGCAGTTTGAAGGCAATTCCGGCATGAGACACTTATCTCCAATTAAGCATCAAAAATCCAGATGTGTATGAGCTATGGCTCCAGTGGTAGAGCATCAGCCTTGAGCACAAAAAGCCAAGCAAGAGCATAAGACTCTGAGAGTAAGCCCAGGGCTGCCAGGGGTAGAGGAGGACATGAAAATCAGCAGGCACACAGAGATCAGCCAGAGTCCTCCTGATCTTGAAACTGAGAGGTACTGATGTTTAGCAGTCAAGGAGATAACTTTCCTGGGGAAAATATCACAGAGAAAACACACATGGGGTTGGAGGTGTGGCTCAGTTGGTAGAATGCTAGCCAGTGAGCAAAAAACATCAGTTACCAAGTTTGAGTCCCAAACTCAGACCAAAAAAAAAGAGAGAAAACACAAAGAATATGTGTGTGTGTTCGTGCACGCATGCGTGCACATGTACGTGCGTATGCATGAATGTGCCAATCCTGGAACTCAGGGTCTGGGCACTGTTCTTGAGCTTCTGTGCTCAAGGCTAGTGCTTAAGCCAAGCTCTGCTTCTGGCTTTCTGGAGATAAGAGTCTCTGGGACTTTCCTGCCTGGGCTGGCTTTAAAACAGTCCTCAGATCTTAGCATCCTGAGTAGCTAGGATTACAGGCCTGAGCTGCCCATGCCAGTCATCACACAGAAATTTCCAGCCTGACTTTCCAGATGGAGGATTACTCTTTACAAAGGAGTGAGCAGTGACTTTTATTTAATCACTGCTAATCTTTTCCTTGAGCAACACTAAGGGACTCTAATACACACACACATGCTTACACACATATGCTCACACACACCCCCACTCACACACTGTTTTCAAAGGGATTCATTGTATTGCTCTTTTCAGTATTTTGTGTTTAAAGCTACTTTGAAAACATTGTTGGTAGTGTTTTGTTAGAAATCACTTTAAATGGCTACATAAAATGATTATATGGCTTGTTCATTAACTATACCGCAATTACTGCTTATCTCAGGGATGTCTAATTGCTTTTAAGAATAATACTGGGCTGAACATACTTTACAGTCTTTCTTCCAATCTTTGATTATTTCATTAGGAATACATTTGGTTGTTTGTTTGATAGCTCAAACTTATCAGCCTTTCTTAAACCCTAAATCTTCCATTGCTTTCCCAGAAGTTTGATTCTTTTTTTCTCATCCAAGTTTTACCATTTTTCTTGTTTATCTAGAACTCTTTATATAGTAGACACATAACCCTTTTCTCTAGTATAACAAATATGCCTCATAGAGTGTTTAAAACTTGTTCTCAATTATATATTCTCCATGTTGAATGATTGCTCTCATGGTTTTGATGCCTAGTAACAGATCTAAAACCCAGTCAGCTCTCTTGGAAGGTCTCCATGTTTTCTAGATATCCTGAATGACACTAGAAGTCATCCTGGTTCATGATGTTATAAAGGGCTCTATGTTGAATGTTTTCCCAGTGACTGTCAGCACCCATCCTACCTTCTGCTGGTTGCAGTGCTCTGCTTAGCAGGAGCAGGAGCAGCAGCTGTGGATCCCTCCTGTGCTCACCTTTTGCAGTAATAATGACAAACCCATCAGTGCTGGGACACTACATGTTCAGGTCACCCTTGACCCTGAAAGCAAAGCAGATACGTGCTACATGATGCGAGAAACGCCATCAAGGATAGAGTGTTCACCAGTTAGGCAGCTTAGGATCGATGTTGCAGATTCTAGAAAGTTCCAAAGAACCCAAAGTTGAAATCAGCCACTTGACTTAGAAAGCTGTTTGGCCCATTGCCTTTGAGATCAAAAGTGGAGAATCCTCCACTTAAGCAAAGGTAACGCCAGCTCTCTCTCCCTCTTCCACTGTGGTTTCCAGAATATTCTTTCTGTCATGCTAGATTTGGAGCACAAGCTTCGCCCCCCCCCTCTCTCTCTCTCACACACACACACACACACGTGCATACATGCATGCACATGCACGCTCACACACTCATTCCATTTGTTTCTGTTGACTGAGCAACAGCCACCTTGTAAATGTTCTCCATCTCTGGTTTTGGCCACCGCAGGGCATGACCCCCCTGATGTACGCCTGCGTCCGCGGGGACGAGGCGATGGTGCAGATGCTGCTGGATGCCGGAGCTGACCTGAATGTGGAGGTGAGGGTGCTGAGGGCTGCAGGCCCCCACGAGCCCAGAGAGGGGCCTTTCCTTCTAGAGGCGCCCCCCCACCCTGAAGGGAGCTCGGGTCAGCAAAACATCATTGCTCAGCCCCCTCAGTGGCTGTGGCCCTGGGTGAGATCACTTGGAGCTGCAGGCGATGCTGGCTTTGGTGGGCTGAGTGATTGCCAGTTCGTGACTCAGCGCCAGTCTGTTCACTCTGGGATCTGGGCAGAAAGAGCTCTCCTGAGCCGGCAGCCTGTACCCCTTGAAGGTTCCTTCCTCAGATCCCCTGCTCTCCCCCACTAAATCCTGACTGACTCTTCTTGTGGGCTAAGTTGATTGATAGGTCTTCCAGTGAGAATCCAGGCTCCCAGGAGGCAATGCGGGAAAGTGGAACACAGAGTCCCCCAACCCTCTCCTTGGCAGGTTTAGAATCTGACAGATTGCTGTCATCCTAGCTACTCTGGAAGCTGAGATCTGAGGATGACAGGTCAATACCAGTCTAGGTGGGAAAATCCATGAGATTCTTATCTCCAGTTAACTAACAAGAAAAGAATCCAAAAGTGAAGGTATGGCTCAAATGGTAGAGGGCCAGCCTTCAGCAAAAAAGCCAAGTGAGAAAACAAGGCCCTGAGTTCAAACCCCAGAATAAATAAATATGGAAACTTGACAGATGTGGTTCAAGTTCTGAAATCACCACCTTCATCGTGTCTGCTGTCAAGCCTTGACAGATGGTGTGGCCTATCTGTCCCCAGATGTGAAATGACAATAGGGGCAGCATCACTTTATGGTGGTTGGAAAGAACAGATCGTGAGTGTACTCAACACAGATTTACAACACAGCTCCTATCTCAGCTCCACCCCGTGCTGAGACTCCAAAGATGTCAAACCTGGCCAGTTACCCGTGGCTCACGCCTGTAATCCTAGCTATTCAGGAGGCTGAGATCTGAGGATTGTGTTTAAAGCCAGACTGGGCAGGAAAGACCATGAAACTCTTGCCTCCAGTGAACCATCAAAAAGTTGAAAATGAAGTTGTGACTCAAGTGGTAGCGTGCCAGCCTTGAGTAAAAAAGCTAAGGGAGAGTGTCTTGGCCCTGAGTTCAAGCCCAGTACTGGTATCAAAGAAAGAAAGAAAGAGAGAGAGAAAGAGAGAGAGAGGAAGGAAGGAAGGAAGTAAAGAAAGGGAAAGAAAGAAAGAAAGAAAGAAAGAAAGAAAGAAAGAAAGAAAGAAAGAAAGAAAGAAAG